ACCGAGAGGCCTACAATCCTGCCACTATGACAAGTGGCCTCAAATCCCCTCGCGCCAACACATAGATAGAGCCTCTCAAGCCACTTGGCAACTAGTAGGGCCTCACCTGTCACCAAACAAGTGTAATGTTTCGCCATCCGGCTTAGCTAGCCTGCCAGTACGATCTTGGTGGTTTTCATACACTAATTAATTGTTTTGTTTTTAGTATGTCTCAGGAAGGGGTAGAGGATTTCTCCCTGCCTAGCACTCCGGCTAGAGCTATCACTCCTACACAAGGAGGAGAGGTAACTAGTCCAGCATCGATCAGATCATGGACGATCCCTCGTATAACTACGGAATTGAGGAGACGGCAAATCCCCTACCCCGCTACAGCAAGGAAAGCAGAACTTTTCAAACTGCTACGTACTTCAACTAACAACATAGATGCCGGGGAAGGACCTAGCCAGTTCAACCCAGGAGACATACATTCCATGTTGTCATCACTCATGGCGTCCATGAGCAAGGTCAACTCCAGGCTGGAGAAACTTGAGTCGGTCACCACGGCCCTTACTCTAGCATGGCCACCCGCTGCTGCTTCACAAGCACCAGCCGACTTACTATTAGTTGCACCAGCCATCACCCAGGTTGACCAGGAAGTTAGCCCTGCTCCTATGATCCCTGAGCACATAAAAACAGATATCCTGGAAGGTAAACACGTCAACCTGGCTTCTCTGCTGATTGCCTCCCAGGATATTGTGGAGAATAAGACTTATGCTTATGATGATGTGTCTGTTGTTGTCAGATCTAGGGACGTCCGCCTAAACAGGAAACTGACTATTCCCGAGTTTGTACTGGCTTTTGGTATTTACCGGGATGTCATCTGTGCGGTCTATCCCAATAGACGAAAGGAGTTTGATCTTTATATGCACAAGCTGGTAGACCTGGTCAACAAATATGGTGGATCAGCCTTTTTTGACTACCATAGGTCTTTTTCTGGAGCCTTCTCCCAGTATGGAACAAGATCCAACTGGGGAAGGATTGATATCGTCATATTTTGCAGGTCTAAGAACACCGGCTTGTGCATATTGCTCCTCTACGGCACATACGACAAATTTCTGTCCCAACACGGCGGACGAACATGCCTCCACGCAAGGAGCTAGTTCCTCTGGTGTTCCAGAGAAATTGACCAGAGACAAACTGGGACGCCCGATCAAGTTTCTGGGCAAGTCCCAGATATGTAATAATTTCAATGTTGGGTCTTGTAATTATAGCGGTTGCAGATTATTGCATATCTGTTTAAAATGTTTTAGGGCACATGCAAAAACCATGTGTCCAAATAAAATGTACTCTAAGCCTTACCTAATGTCCATAAATATTTCGGTATTTACAGCATTTCTGTCACATCACCCGTCTAAACACTTGGTAGACTTTCTTATCTCTGGTTTAACAGAAGGCTTCTACGCGGGTATTCTACACATACCGTCCGGGATTCTGGAATGCCCTAATCTGCAATCCGCACAACACAACCACACAGCTGTTGACACTCTCATAGCCCAAGAAGTTGCTGAGGGTTTCTTATTGGGGCCTTTCAAGGCTCCTCTGTTCAAAGAATGGCGCACTAACCCCATTGGTATTGTCACAGGGAAATCTTCCCTTAAACAGAGACTCATCATTGACCTATCTGCACCACACTCATCGGCTAACCCCAGTCTTAATTTCCTCATACCCTCCGAAGAATTCCCCCTGCAATACACCACCATAGATCACGCCATTACAGCTATCATACAAGCAGGGGTCGGAGCATGGCTTAGTAAGACCGATATTACTAATGCCTTTAAATTGCTGCCAATCCCACACTGTGGCACCTGCATGGCATCAATGGGTCCGGGGACTACTATTTTTTCTCACGTTTAACTTTTGGGTCCAAAAGTAGCCCAGCTATTTTCGACACATTTGCCAAAGCATTGTGCTGGTTACTATTGAACAGAGCCAGATGCCCTACTGTATTACATTACCTGGATGATTTCTTAGTGGTCGAGGAGAATATTTCCCCTCCCAGTAGCCTCAAAGCTACCACCAAGCTATTCGAGCAGCTAGGTGTCCCAATTTCCCCTAAGAAAACGGAGGGGCCAGACACGATTATCACATTCCTAGGTATTCAATTAGACTCAACCACAATGCAAGCAAGCCTGCCACACGACAAGATAGAGAACATTCTTACCTACATCAACCACTACCTTCAGCTCGGTACTTGCAACCGCAAAGAACTACAGTCCCTGCTGGGTTCACTAAATTTTGCCATGCGTATCATACCTCAAGGCCGCTCCTTCAAATCACGACTCTTGTATCTATTTCCACTCTTCCTACACGACACACACAGGTTGTCCTTAGATACTCAAGCTACGGCAGACTTACACATGTGGAAGGAATTTTTAACCACTTGGAATGGTAAAAGTATGTTCCTCCCTCAATTGACTGACTCATCACCTACCATTTGGTCAGATGCAGCATCTAGCACAGGTTTTGCAGCAATATTTGGGAACTAATGGCTTTGGGGCAGCTGGCCTACAGCAGTTCAGGATTTGGAAGTTTTTTCCGTTACCTCAGCTCTCTCCCATTGTGGCGGCTGCCGTAGCATGGGGTCATTTATGGGCAAACATGCCAGTACGTTGCTACTCAGATAACCAGGCAACCTGTCACATCATCAACAAAGGTCGTTCCAAATCCCTTACGATCATGAGATTTCTGAGGAAACTCACTTGGTTGACGGCCTGTCATTTCTTCCTGTATTGTTTCCATGTTCCAGGTGTATGTAACACATCTGCTGACAGTTTGTCTCGTTTGAAATTTCAGGCATTTCATCAAGCACTCCCGTCAGCTGCGCTCACAGCCACTACCACTCCAACATTTCAACAACTAATACTGGACTAGACACCATCATGCATCATAGCAGGGCACTGTCCCAATTGGCACTGTCAAAAAATATGCACAAAACATACAACAGGGCTTTTACATTATTCAAAAGATTCCTTTTGGAACATAACATCATGCAACCTTTTGTCATGACATCTTTTTTGGGTTTTGTTTCATTTTGCCACTTTAAACTTAAAATGTCATACAACACCATAAAACTTTATCTCACAGGCATTCAACACCATTTGCTAATCTTACAACCAAACAACACAAGTTTCATGGCATATCACCAGATTAAGACTATACTCAGAAGCATTCAGAGATCTGAACCCACACGTACATCACAGAGGCTAACCATAGACAACCATATCTTCAAAGCATTGTCTGACCTGCTTGATTTAAAACCTTTTGACACCAACACAAATTCTGTCATCAAAGCAGCAATGTACATAGCTTTCTATGGATTCCTAAGACCTAGAGAATTCACTACAACCAACGTGACACCATCTACTCCTATTCTTCTCTATTCCCACTTAAAAAAAAAACATGGATCATTACATCCTGACTCTACCTCACTCCAAAACCAGTCAGCATGCACCAGTAAAAATAAAATACTATCCCACGCACAACAGGTGGTGCCCCGTCAGGATTATTGATGCATACATACAGCATCATAATTTACTACCATCACAACCATTATTCCTATTACAAAGTTTGGTACTCACCACACCAACCTTCATGACCTACGTCAGGTCTTTACTCACTCAACTGGGCCTCAACGCAGCTAACTACTCAGGGCACTCCGTCAGCATAGGGGCGTCATCCACAGCCTCCAGTGTCAACATTCTAGTTCATGTTATAAAAACACTGGGGTGCTGGAAATCATCCGCTTACTCACTGCACATACCGAACCCAGTACAAGAATTAAGGGATGCTTTCAAAAACATGTCTGGTTGATATATGTATCTGTATTGGTTGTCTGTAATAAATTTGATTACTTAATTTTTGCCCTCTTCTTTCTCAGGCCTACCTCATCGTCGGTTCCGGCACACCACAACCGACTTGCTCTTTTTACTATCCTACATTTCATTATAGTATTTTACTCTGTACTATCATGAGCACCTAACACAAGTATTAAGGCAATTTGGCCTGTATTTGTGGGAGGTGCTTGGTATACACCCCTAGCCTACTTAAGGCACACCCATTACCTTGCTCCTTACCGTTTGAGGTCAGTGTTGAATGACCCTCCCACCACACCACATTTTAACATTTATTTCCTTTCTATTTCTTTTTCCTTGGTAAGCCCTCTTCTTTCTAGGGCCTACCTCATTCCGGCACACCACAAGCTCTTTTTACTATCCTACATTTCATTATGGTATTTTACTCTGTACTATCATGAGCACCTAACACAAATATATATCTATATCTATATATCTATCTATATCGATATCTCAATATGATATATATCTCAATATGATATAGAAAGAATTTTGGGCCAAAATTCAGAGTAGGGTTTGAGGAGTCAATAACTTTTTTTTATTAATGAACCAATTTCAATGATAATGCATACAAGGAATGCTTAATAGACATTGGACATTTGTTTGACTAGGTATTTAAGATGACATCTTTTAAAGGACCACTATAGGCACCCACACCACTTCAGCTTAATGAAGTGGTCTGGGTGCCTGGTCCAGCTAGGATTAACCCTTTCTTCTATAAACATTTATAATAGGGTTAATCCAGCCTCTAGTGGCTGTCTCGTTGACAGCCGCTAGAGGCACTTCCGCGCTTCTCACTGTGATTTTCACAGTGAGAAGATGCCAGCGTCCATAGGAAAGCATTGAGAATGCTTTCCTATGGACTGGCTGAATGCGCGCGCGGCTCATGCCGCGCATTCACATTCAGCTGATGACGGCGATATGGAGGAGGAGAGGAGGAGGAGAGTTCCCTGCCCGGCGCTGGAAAAAGAGGTAAATTTAACCCCTTCCACACCCTAGAGCCCGGTGGGGTGGGGGTACCCTCAGGGCACTATAGTGGTCCTTTAAATGAGCTCCATTTGCCATCTTGCAATGTCGGGCTCTTTCGATTGCATTGATCAGCCCACAAATATGGGGAAGCGCACACAGAAGCCAGCTCCAGGTACACCGACTGACTCCCATGAAGTAGGGGCCCTGCTCCAGCGGCAGGCCCAGCACAAAATGGCGACCCAGGAAGAACAAGAGGCTTCAGCTGACCCCCTGAGACAAATGCAGGACAACAGCGACACTCAGTCCATATTGCAGGGACTTGAACAGACCTCACCAAGCTGCCCAGACCTGTCAGCTCTGGCCACCAAAAAAGATATTAAAAACCTCTCCACAGATTTCCAGTGGAAGCTGGCAGCCGATATAGCAGTGATTCAAGCTGACATGCAGGTAGTCACTGACAGGGTTCATGCCACTGAACCTGGATATCATAAATGTGAGGCAAGAAATGTCTAAAGTGAAAGACTCAGTACACAACATGCATTCTCTCTACAACTTGCTACATTCGATGATCGCTCCAGACGCAACAACCTTAAAAATAAGAGGGGTGCCAGAATCCATCACTATGGAGGAATTGCCACACTACTAGTGGCTACCCTGCTACCCCCAACACAAGCCAAAAAAACTTATGTTCAATGGCATATTTCGTCTGCTGAAATCACCCAGGGCACCAAACGGCGCATGCGACATCATGATAAGCTGTTCCCTCACGCAAGAAGTCCTGACAGCTGTACAAAATCGGACGCCTTACTCGTTTGAAGGCACAGACCTATCCTTCTACTAAGGCCTCTCAAAGGTCCACCTTGCAGTGGCGCAGATCACTCCTTCCAATAATGAGCCAAGTCAGAACGGTGGGAGTGACATATCGATGAACCACCCTAAGATCCCTCATGGTGAATCACAATGGGACTGTACTCAGCCTATCTTTCGGCCGACGAGGCACCAGCTCTGTTCCTGGCAAGACGACGGGAAACCACGGAAGCACACATAACTAGGACCCGACCACCGTAATCCCTTTCACCCCACGGGGCCATCCATCGATGAGAGCCAAGACATGACTGAGATCCAGACTGCTGGGAAAGGCAGCAGTAATGAGCCATGACCTCCATAAAACTTTTTATTTGTTTTTGCATTGTTTGTCTGTTGATACGGTTTGACAGGTTACCACAACCGACAACCACAACCGTCTCCTGGGGCCTGAGAAGGTGGGATAAGACCCTCCTACTAGAGTCTCAAAGAAAATGGCGCTGTTCCAATTAAGAGGGGTCTGGCTTTGTACAGACCTCACACCTCCCCCCTCCCCATGGTTAGGGGCATCAACAGCAAGAGCTGGTTTAACCACACCGTGCCATAGTTCCACTGCCACCCATGACCTAGGCTCATAAACGACAACCAGTCATTACTGCACGTCACCAACTAACGCTCACCCCTTTTATTCTATTATTCTGCGGGTTCCTCTTAATCACCCCTCCATGTTTCCATAGTCATACGAAGACACCAAAACCCTCATAGTCTCCCATACAAGACTAGCTCCTGACTGATTCCTCTTCTGCAACTGTCACTGGTCTAATACTATCCTTACCTTTTTGTGTAATTTTACCCCACTCCCTCTAGCATGTAAGCTCATTGAGCAGGGCCCTCAACCCCTCTGTTCCTGTGTGTCCAACTTGTCTGGTTACAACTACATGTCTGTTCGTCCATCCATTGTAAAGCGCTGCGGAATTTGATGGCGCTATATAAATATCATATTAATAATAATACACAGAAAGGACCACCCACTAACAACTTCTCATGGCTATATGAGGTAATTTGTCTAGACACCAAGCGGTGATACCCGCTACGTTACCCTGCACCTTTTATAAATACTAATTAGTACTAAGTAGTATGTTACTCTCTTGTTTTCATTAAAAAAAAAAAAAAAAAAGTCCTATCATATCTGAACCTTATTGCATATTGCAGCTGTTGTAGCAGAATCTCTTGAGGCTATATAATATTTTTTGGGAGGGCGACTAGGATGTGATTTCAAAATGTTGACAGTAGTGTTGCAGCCACCGAGCCGATCTCAGTTCTCTAATGTGTCATAGAAACTGAAACAGATTTGTAATTTTATAACAAAATGCCAATGAGCTGGGTAACCCCTTGATCAGTCAACTATACTTCCTCAGACCCAGCCCTTTACCAGCCACTCTATAAACTGTTTAAAAAGCAAAACTTGCTGTTTACTTTGTAACATTCCTCTTTGCGTATGCATTTTATAAGAGGGCAAAGTACTGTTCTTTATTTTACTTTTTATAGCCAAGTAAAAATGAGAGCAGAAATCTATGGCAAGATTTCAAAGTGGATCTCATACGCGCTCCCTCAAACAGACAGGAGGGTGGAGCAGAGATATTGAAACTTAGTTCTTATTTCTCATTATCATCACTGCACATGTTGGGAAAATTCTCACAGTCAGTGACAGGGTTATATACTAAACCAGTGATGGCGAACCTATGGCACGCCCGGCCCTCTGTGGGCTTGCGACCATAGGTCGCCGGGGGAGAGGGCCGCTGGCGCTGGTCGGCAGCAATACAGAGTAGGCACCTGCCTGCCCAAAACAGGTGCCTACTCTGTTTTCGTGTCGGGAGGACCCGGAAGCAGGGGGAGGAATCTGGGAAGCAGCTCTCCTGTCCTCCCCCGAACAGGCTGTGTGGAGCGTTGCCACGCATTACCATGGCAACACTCCACACAGCATTCTGCGCATGGGAGGACAGGAGAGCTGCAGCCAGAACCTGTCCTACATACTTTCCGCCACCGGATCACCAGGGCTGGCTGTCCCCCCCCTCCTCCATCACCAGGAGGGGGAATAAAGATTTTAATAAAAATTGCTACCTGCAGCACTCCACACACAAAAACACATATACTGCACCTCTCAATGCAGTATGTGTGTGTGTCTACGTATTCAGCGGACTGTGTGTACGTATTCAGTCTGGGTGTATGTTTATGTGTGTGTATGTATTCAGCAGACTGTGTGTGTAGTCAGCAGTCTGTGTGTATGTATGTTTGTGTGTGTATTCAGCAGTCTGTGTGTGTGTGTGTGTGTGTGTGTGTGTATTCAGCAGTCTGTGTGTGTGTGTGTGTGTGTATTCAGCAGTCTGGGTGTATGTATTCAGCAGTCTGTGTGTATTGTCTGGGTCCACAAAACTTTGCATTGTTATAATAGGGTACAATATTACAAAACATACAATATACATACACATAAATTTAATACATAACAGGTAATAATTATATTCAACCATGACAGGTGCATTCTGTGCTGAGGTATATTGCCATATATCTCTCTTATATTGAATGAAGAATTGACTGCGTCCCTGAGGTTATTCCATAATTGCGGTGCTCTGTAGGAAAATGAGGATTGAGCCACTTTATTTTTGTATTGCGGTATGCTAAATATCGTGCTAGTACTGGATCGTAGGTTATAGGAGGTGGGAACAGCTGGGAAAGCATTCTACTCCGGTAGGGTGGGAGCTTCCCAGAAATGCTCAAACACAAGGCTGGAAAGATGAAGAGTGTGTCGGGATTCCAGCAACAGCCAGTTTAGCTCTTTTAACATGTCACAGTGGTGGGTCAAGTAATTACATTCTAGTACAAAGTGGCAGAACTAATTATATAACGTATTAAGTTTATGAAGGTGCATACACGACATCCCCATAATCAATGCCCTTACAATCTATATATTTAGTTCAGCAGTTGACGGCAATTTAATTTGAGAAAGGACACGTTGACAAGCACCTACCAACATGCTAAAAAAAAAAAAGCAGGGTATACAATCAGTAGCAGTGCAAGTGTCATAGAAATCAATGAGGGAATCTGCACAATGGATTTTAGTGGGGTTTAGGCTTACAGCTGCAGATATTTTTGCATAAAACTTGCCAGCGAGGCAGGGGAGCCTCTTGCACCATAACCTGTCCAAGGCGCCTAGGTTGTTATGGTGCTTGGATTGTTTCTTTAAATGACTATTGAGCTATAAACATCCTATACATCATATATCTCACGCCACTTATTTTGAATGTCACCTAAGGCTCAGGTATGATTATATTAAAGGTATGTAAAAGGGTCCCTCAAGGGTTTTTGCATTGGGGAATCTTAGTTTCCAGGAAACAAGTGTGTTAGAGACTACATTAGTAAATAGCAGGCCTGTCTGTGCTTATCCAGAAAGGTTAGAGCCAAGTTAACCGCAGGTTTCCTAGGAAGCTAGCATGTTTTCAGCAGAGCCCAGCGGCAGCAGTAGTTATAGAGCAGGGAGGTAAGGAGAATGGTCTCCTAATTATCAGAAGATGTCCACGCCACATCTGCAGCCAGGAAAAATGCAACTCAGATCTTTTTCAAAAGGTACATCCCAAGTGACCCTGTCTACTGGTGACAGTCCCTATTTAAAGTGAACCTGTTGTGAAAAAGTAAGTTTACATTAAATACTCCCATATACATTGAATATATCATATCACAGAGATACGTGATGTAATCAACGTAAAATATAAAGATTTAATTCAACCTTCTTGCAATACAGCACCACTTCCTGTATGTCCTCCACTTCACCTGGGGTCCGTCTGCTGTCTTTTCTGATTTGCCCTGCTTAGGATACACCCCCCGAGCAGGGCAAACCTCCTCTGTGAAGCCAGGGTGCCGGCTTAGCTGCCAGCATCAGAACAACCAGCTAGGGAGTTTCCATAGCAACTGCAGTGCATGCAGTGGTGTACCGGCCTCAGCCACGACCCCTGCAACTGTGGGCCGCCTAGGTTTCCCGCTGGCCACCTAATGGACCACCCGTCGGGCAGCAGAGTTCCTGTCAGACACGGCGAGGGAGCTGTGATCTCTCAGATCTCCTCCCTCGCGCACCGTTTGCTGATGCCGGAAGCCGGAACATGACGTCATATTCCGGCTCCCGGTATCAATAGACAGCCCGCAAGGGAGCAGATCAGAGAGAACACAGCTCCCTCGCTGTGTCTGACAGGAACTCTGCCGCCTGGACCCCAGGGACAGATCGACGCCAGCTCTCCAGGTAGGGAGGCTGGGTGGACATTTTATATGAATAATGTGTGTGTGTCTGTCTGTCTGAATGTGTGTCTGTCTCTGCAAGTTTGTGTGTGTGTGTGTAAGTGTGTACATGTCTGAGTGTGTGTATATGAGTGTATGTGTGTATCTATGTGTGTGGGGGGGGACAGGGATGTATTGGATGGGAGGTAGATGTATGGGTGCCCCAGGGCAATTTTTGCACCGGGCCACGTGGTTTCTAGTTACGCCTCTGAGTGCATGCGCGGTTATTGCTTTGCTTGGGAGAGCAGAAGGACAGTCTATGGGAAGAATATTTTTAAATACGTTTTTCACCCAGCCTACACATTTGCCAGCAAAATTGTCAGCACAATGTCTAGATTAAATGTTATATTCTTTCTAAAGAGCGCAAATACACATTCTACCACAGG